TGAGATCACTCGCAAGCGGCCATTGTTCGAGCGCTGGTCTCCCGCCGGCGCCGGTCGTGCTGCCGTGCGCGGACCCGTCGGAGCTCGTGCAGAGGCCGGCGCGGAGAACGAATAATTCATCTCGGTGGATAGCTCCTATTGGCTGCTCCCGGCGTCAAATTCACAGGCAAACAAACATACATGGCCCTCGTCTTTTTTTTTAAACGAAGGCTCACGAAGAGGACGGCTTTAAATTAACAAAGCCATCAACCGGTCAGGAAATACAAACACACACAAATCCCACGACCAACCGATACAAGGAGACACTCTAGGAGGCTTACAACTCAACGGGTCGCACAAGCTCAAAAAGAATACAAGAAAACAAAGCTCGAAGCTTGTCCTAGCCGAAGACTACAGCCAAACAGCCATCTAGGGGTGAGGCACACACGAGCACGACGAGGACCTGCTTGCAACAGAGTATGGCAAGTGAGCCCGACCAACGCCCAAGTAGAAAGACATCACACATCCGTCGTCTCTCTCGCCGCAGAGGGACCCTTCCCTCTCGCCATGGCTCGCAAGGCGCCGTACCCGGCGGACTTCAGAGACGCTCACCCTAGAGCAGGGGACGTGCCAGCTTCGGGACCTGGAGCAGCCGCAGCACACCACCATTTGAACATTCGAGCACTCCGCGACTGCCGCATCGCCACAACCTAGAAAGCCGGAGAGCTGCAGGAAAACCACCAGGTGCAGCTACTGAAGAAAGGCAGCAGAGGCACATCAAGTAAACCGGCAGGCCAACGAGGAGAACCTCGTGACACCGCCGTCACCGGACCACCCAAGCCACCCAAGCTCCGACCTTGAACCCCTCACCTGAGCGCAACCCTCCCCAGGTGGCGCCCCCAAGGAAGACACGACGCACAGCGCGCCGTCGCGGCCCAATCCAAGCCGGATTTTGGGCTTTCACCCGGGAGGAGGAACAGGGGTGGAAAGGGGAAGGACCTCTGCAGCACCTCCAAGGAGGAGACGGTGTCGGGGACGTCGATGTTGCCAGGCCGGCCAAGCCGGCCAACGGTTTCCCGCGGCCCAAAACCAGACCACCGAACACCCACCCACATCATACAGGCGCTCGGGAGGAGGCTGGCGAGAAACGGCAGGGACGAGGGAGACAGGGGAAAGGAGCCACCCTCAGATCTGACGACGAGGGGAAGACCTCCGCGCCACCGCCGCCACCCGTCGTCGTCTCACCACCCGCGTGGTCGAGGCCGCCGGCCAGAGCACCCCGCGAACGACGCCGGCCGAAAGGCGCCGCCGCCTCGCCAAGAAGGGCCGCCGCCCCAGATCCGAGGTCCTCCTTGAGGAAAGGAGCGGCCGAGGCCTCGCCGCCATCATCACGGGCGGCCGCGCGAGCGGATCCGGCGGCTTTCTCAGGTGGCGGCGAGGGAGGGAGGGTGAGGGAGCGGCGGCGCGACGGGGAAACCCTAGTCGCCGCCCGAGTCGCCCGAAGCGGACGACGCGGGGGCCGCGGGAGGGGGTGCCTAATCGGTCAGCTGACTCACCTTCTTGGGCCGTCTTGTAGTAAAGCGTTGGGTATAGTTGCCGATTCTTGCGATTTCTCCTCCGTTCGGTTTTCCTTTGATTTTTCGTGTCTTAAAATAGTAACAGAGAAAAGAAAGTACTACTTCCGTTCAAAAATACTTGTCGGAGAAATAGATATATCTAGACATATTTTAGTTTTAGATACATCTATTTTTATCCATTTTTCCGAAAAGTACTTCCGGACGGAGGGAGTACTACATACCATGTATTTCAATGCATTACTTGGACTGGCCTAGGCAATCTTTGACGCCTGCCACCGGATGGAGGTCGGTCGGTTTTCCTCTGGAAAACTAGTTATTGTATAGTCTATTAAGGATCAAAATTCAAAAGTTTATAAAATGCTTACAACTTTTTAAAAATGTTCACAAAATTAAAAAATTGCTCATGGATCAGGCTTAATCTGAAAAGATGGCCATAAGAACTGAAAAATGTATGCAATGTTTCAAAATGTTCATGAATTTTAAGAACTATTCGCAAATTCATTCCTAAAATGATCTACTCCCTCTATTCAAAAATTCTTGTTTTTTCCTTTAATTATAATTTGAACTAAAACCATGACAAGAATTCTGGAACAGCAGGAGTATAGATCTGAAGACGAACTGTTATCAGATCAAATTAAATTGCTAAGGATGATGTGTAATTCTTGATTCCACGTTGCAGTCTGCCAGAGTTTGCAAGAGCAAGAAGGAAGGGGTCTGGGAACAGAGAATGTGACAGGGGAATTCAGACAGACCATGCTATTTCCTTGACAGACCAAACACTCGACAAGCGTCTGGGTTTACACAGCACATAGGCACACACGCCTCCTATCAACGACACGGACAGGCTGTGCCAACACACACAAACGCTCTCACTCACATGTCACATTACCACTTCGGTGTCCTGTGCACACGGGCATGGGCTTCGTTCCTCTGAGAACCAAGGGACTATTTGCAAATTAACAGGCAAATATAAATTCGTACTGACATCTACTCCTACATGTAGAGAAATTGCTTTGACATATCTGTCTGCACTGACACACACATGATCTAGTTCCTATTGTTGGGTCTACTTTCAGATAACATTCATCACACGCCGTGGTGATGGAGTTCTGACTTTGCTTGTCCAGCATGGCATTGCTTCCTTCATCTTGTGGATGCTTTCAGAAGTGCCAACCTGCAGGTACATTGATTCATCACATTAGCGTTTACATTATACCTGAATATTGCCAGCATATCCCCACCCAATTTGTAGGGAGATTTACCAGGGTACACGTTCATGCAATTTGCTTCACAGCTTGGGTTTTCCTGACCCTCTATCATCCAAAACTGGTATCTGAATTCTGACAGGAGTTTGAAGCAAGATAATTGTAGGTAAATCAGTATCTAATCTGATGACCAATTTCCTTGACTACTATAGAGAGAGGTAAATAAAGATGATGAAAACATTTAGTCATCGCGTCAAAGCAATTTTGGTGTTGATCTATGATGCAGAACAGATGTTTAACTAGATAAAGTACTGTGCCGAGTTGATGTGGCACAGACAATTATCATTGGCAATCTGCAGTAAACTGCAACCGCAGGGAATAGACGCCTCCAGCTGGAGCAAGCAGATTAACACCAGGCACTAGCAGGAAGTATCAGAGATGTCACTGGACTAGGATTGGAAGTACTCAGGATGCCGCTGGATTTGAAGTTTACTGTTTACCTCTTTATGCTATTTGGGTGATAGTTGAGATGAGCACAGAGCAGTAAGCAACGAGATATACTTGTCCATGAAAAGGCAGATACTTGTCTAAAAACGAGTACATGAATGTGGCACCGAGACCGAAGATCAAAGATTTCGGAATCAGCAGATCCCATGAAACCAAAAAAAAAAGTAACCAGTTGGGAGTTACCTATATTATACTGGAATATAGCACGAGGAAATATAGTTAACTGAACCATAATAACACGAGGAAAGGACTTGTGTCATACGCACCTCAATTATCGTCAGACTCAGAGTCAGACTTCAAGTGAGCACAGGAGGGGAGGAACCTTCTTAGAAACTTCTTTCCGCTGGTTTCTGCTTCTGCTTCTGCTTCTGCTATTATTGTGGATTCTGCTTCTGCTTCTGCTTCTGGAGCTCCAGTTCTGAATCCTGATTTATCTGGGACAGGGAGCAAGTGGTGGAAATACTCCCCACCTTCTCTGCATCGTCTTTCCAACTCGGGGCAGCCCCCTATGGTTAGGCGGTCAAGCGCTGGCAACCGCTGAAGGAGACCATTCGGGAATTCCTCTATCCCTGGACAATCAATGATCACCAATTCGCGAAGAGAACTGAGTCCATCCATCCCATCAGCAACCCTTTTAGGCTCCTGCAGTAACTCACCTTTAGGGAGCTCAGCTTTGCCAGATCTCCAAGGTTTGACGGCAGCACCACCAAACCTCTGAAGCATTGAATCCACAAAATTTCAAGGGATGTAGGCAACCTTGGAATATCCCGTAAACACTCCACCTCCAAGTAATCTCCTACTAAATTCAGGTCTTTGAGAACGGGGCTCAGTGGAAAACTTGCAACCTTAGGGCAGCAGGTGATTACTAGCTTCTCAAGCACCGGGAATATTACTGAGCTATCAATGGCCACACCCGCACTTTTTTCTGCCCATCCCTCTAGACTACATAGATCTACCAAGACCATCTCCTTCAACTTCGGGAAAATTTGTAGAGGGGTACTGCGTCCTCCACCTTCTATGCAAAGGTTATCACACAATGTCTTCAGTTGACCCATGTTGCGCAAGCATAAGAACTCCAATGAGGGTGAGAGCCATACTACAGGTATATTCTTACACCTTGTCCACTTGTAAATTATGAGTTTTCTTAAGCAATGAAACATCTGAGGGTCTCTCATCCATTGTGGTATTTCTGGGCCACCGTATCCGTACAACTCAAAAATTTGGATCTTGCTATGAGGTTCTAGATGCTGGAACACTTCTTCCTCATTACATGCCTCATTTCCGGGATTTTCATATCTTTTAAGGCCCCAACAGAACGACAACTCAGTCAGATTTTGCTTCTGCCGGAGATTGGCTTCTTTTGCATGATTTACACTCTTTATTTTTCTCAAGCTGTACAGTTCCAACCTGTTTCTGAGGTGTCGCAGGTCTTTGAGCTCCTCAATACCACAACCATCTCTCGTATCCACAATAAATCTTGTTAGTGTGCGAAGGTTGTTCAGCTGACCAATGTTTCAAGGCATCCGCTCCAGATTAAAACATCCATAAAGATAAACATGTATGAGCTTTCTCAGGCTCATCACCATGTCTTCTGGAAACTGCCGTAGCCCCACGCAATGATTGAGCCTCAAAGTTTGCATGTTGTACAATAGACATATTGAATTGAGCAATGTAGAATTGACGCTGCAATATGAGAGGTCAAGGTACCGTAAATGTTTTGCATTTACGGCTTTCAAACTGGTGCTAGAACCCTGCCAATGCAATGCTCGTAATGATACATGTGGCAGTCAAAATCCTGCTGCATCCATGAAAGAGCTAACAAAGTGTGGAGAGATGTTTTGCCATCAAACAACCTGGAAGTATTTTCCAATTCAACCCATTTTGGTAATTGCAGATGGCATACATTGTTTACCAATGCTTTCTGTTCAATCAATTCTTCTATGGTGGCACATTCATTGCTAACATCTTTGGCTAAGTCATGCATTAAGTCATGCATTTCACATACAATTATCCCATATGCATAGCCATCAGATTTGTCTGCAGCTTTCATATCTTGTAGGAAGGACCTCCAAAGCAATTCATGAAAAATGAATTCTCCTTTTTGTGCTAAATCCATTGTTCCCTCTTCTTGAATAAAGCCATTTGCCATCCATAGTTGGATCAACATATCCTTCTCCATCTCATAATCCTTGGGGAAAAGCGCGCAGAATGCAAAGCATTGCTTCATTTCAGATGACAGGTGTTTGTAGCTTAACTTCAGTATGGGCATGACCTCATATTTGCCTCCAACATTATTCCCAATGTTAGTTTCTTCAATGGTCTTCCATTCATGTACCTGTTGCTTTGAACTCAGCAAACCACCCATTATCTTCAGAGCAAGAGGCAGGCCCCCGCATTTGTAGACAATACGTTTTCCGATTGTGACTAACTCTGTTTGCTCCTCTGCACCATTGCTAAATGCTTTGTTTGAAAACAATTCCCATGAATCTTCTTCACTCAGAAATGCTAGCTCAACGGGATCGACTGTTGGAATTATAGAGGCCACTTGCTTGCTTCGACATGTGACCACTATGACACTTCCTGGTCCACCAATAGAACACAACAGTGGCTTCAGTTCATCCTCCCACAATTTCTTTTCTTCATTCCATACATCATCAAGAACAAGAAAAAACCTCTTCTGGCCAATGACTTCGTCAAGGTTCTTCTGCAATAGTTCGATGCGGTCAGGCAGGTCGCATCTTCCATTTGTAGCCAATTCAATGATGGATTTCACAATGGCAGAAACATCAAAATTGTCTGACACGCAGTGCCACATCTTCAACTGGAAATGTTCCTGGACCTCTTGGTCATTGTACACCATTTTAGCAAGTGCCGTCTTGCCAAGACCTCCCATACCGAAGATGGGCAGCACCTGCACCTTCCGCTGATCTTGTTGGTCTAGCAGCAGCTTCACCACCCCCTCCTTGTCATCATCTCTTCCAAAGATGTTGGTAGACTCGTCCAGTTTGGAGTGTGTCTGCCGCCAAGGAAGTTGAGGCCCCTCCCGATTGACAGAATTCTCAAGGCCAAACATGTTCATCTCCTCAACGAGCCCCTTGATCTTCTCGAGAACTCCTTTGAGCTTTCTGCTCATGGCAAAACGGAAGAGCAGCGGGCTGCGGCGCGTGACGTAGCTGAGTACCTTGCGGGAGGTGGACTCGCCGATTTGGGCTTCGCGGCGCAACGCCTCGTACTGGAAGTCGTCGAGCACGTCACCAGCCTTGTAGGCGACGTCCTTGAGCTTCTGCATCCAGGTCCTGAGGTAGGCATTCGTCTGGCTCCTTTCCTCCGCGTTGGCCAGCTTGCACTGGACGGCTAGCAGATGGCGCTCCAGCGTTTCGCGGTCGTCGTCCAGGCCACACATGCGGGTCATGGTCTGGACGAGCGCGTCTGCGGCCTTGCCGGCCAGGCCTTCCACCACAGGGAGAAGCAGTGATTCGGCCATGACCTTGCAGATCGGAGGAAGAAGAAACTGCAGCATATGCATATGAAAGAGGGAAGAGAGATTCAGCACTGGCAGATCAGGAACAACCGAAGAAGAACAAAACACACCCCAGAATGGAGGAGAGAATGCACCTCAGCAACACACGAAGTCGATCAGATCCAACGCGCCGTCGGTTCCCCGGTTTGGAGCTTTCTCGCCAAGGCTACTATAGGAATGGGATGCTGCCGTTGGTGAAAAGAGAAGTGAAGGCACCTGCATGCAGCTGACGAAGAGGAAGACGAAGAGAGGCAAAGGGAAAAGAAGAGATGCTAAACTTGCATTACTAGCTCACTTTTCTGATTTCCTTTGATGAAAGGACCAAGAAACGAATAAAGTTGGTGCAGCAGGACTCTTTTGCCTGCAGAGTCACTGCTTTTACCGTTCGTTTGGATTTATATTATCTCAACACTGAACGTTTGCTTCTTTATACGAACAATAACATGGGGTGGCCACACAATAAAAGAAAACTTCTGGCCGCAGGATGCCTTGTTTGCAGTCCCTGACAGCATTTGTCTGCACAAATTCCATATCCACGCAAAGGATGTACAAAGATCTGGTTCTTGTTGAATTTCCTAAGGAAATACTTTTCTAATCTCAGGATGTTATATAGCAATTCCTAGATATTAATTGCAGTGGGTCCCAAGTGTTAGTGGTGGAAAGATTCTGGCTAGTATGTTCCGTTTTCACAATTACTCTAAACTAGACGTATGGGGATCCCTTCAGCCGAAATAAGCATAAGTTCCCTCTATATGTTCTTCTGGTGTATTTGGAAAGCTCGAAACGATGCTCGTTTTTGCAGGAAAATAAGTGCCCCTTCGCAGGTTTATGCTGCAGCAACGGCGATCATGCAGGGCTCCAGTATGGAGGTACAAATTCCCCTCTGATGGACGATACAGACTGCTCTTCAATCTCCAGGATGCTTGAGCTTGATGACGCTTCTGTGCAAGGACAGCAAAGACAGGGCAATGTCGACCAACATACATCACCCAGGCCGGGAAGAACTATCAACGAATATATCCACCATTTCAGGCCCCATCATTTACTTGGATGCAGCTTGGCCTCCAAGTCCGTACGGCAGATCCACAGTTGCTGGCATAGGTATTTTCATACAGTTCGGAGCTGATCGGCGTTGCTCTTAGCTGTGTATCTCGGCCATATCCTCACCAACAACATCTGCCATTCAGGCCGAGGCATTCTGCTTGATGTTAGCGTCCCAGATTGCAGGAACACTTCAGATTCAGCATGCTACCCTTTTTGACAGACCGTGTGACGTTGGCGATTGCGGCAGCATCGCAGAACCTGATGCTTGCTCCTGGACATTGGTCCATCAGACCACAACTCGCTCAAACAGCAGCCTCCACAGCCTGTGATGCTTCCAGAATATATCATGAACAGAGGTTATAACTTCAGAGCTCATCATCAAGCCAAGTTGGCACTGAAGATTCAGAGTGCATCTTTTAGCTACAGGTGTTTAAATTCAGTCATAGATACATGCCTAAATGCAGATATAGCTGCAGTTTCATGCATCATGCAGTGCAAGATTGTACATAAATGTTGTTGTTAAATTGATGAAAATTTCTGTGTTCAAAAGAAAAAACTGAAGTGAGTGGTGGCATGGAGGGTGGGAAACGCGCATCTTTTATCTTTCTTATTTTAATGAGGCTCACTTGCATGTTTAGTTCCGCACCAATGCAATTGCTTGCTTTGAGCCTTTAACATGCCATATGCATTCGCATACAGCATATATAATTGCAGATAGAGGTATAATAATAACATGGCCACGCTGGTTCTCCATGGCTAGGAGGCTATGCTCTCTTTCGTAGCAACCGCTGCTAAAGGGGTTTCAACTTGCTAGCAATTGTTGGATATTATGATCTAAAGAGTAAAGTTCAGTTAATAATAAATATTATGATCTAAAACTGAACCGAGGCTCATTAAGAAACTGAAGAAAATATCCAAATGCTGCTACAGTAGGGCGTGCCTACCTACTCCCATGAACTGCCCAGATCAGGGGCAGCTCATCAGCAAACTCAGGGTGTGGGCCCCCCTGGTGCGCAGTGGAATTGTTGTAAAGAAAAGAGAGAAGAGAAGAGCAACTACGGCTGCTGGACTGCTGCTGCTCTAAGCTATCTATTTTTCACTTCAATCACTCAAGAAAAGGCTACTGACCAAGCCCTGAGCTGGAGTACTGGGAAGGACCTTCACAACCACCAGATCGAGCTGTTGGTGGTGTAGAATTAAGAGGAGGAGATGGGAGGGTCATCAGACCAAGCTAATCCATCCCCTAATGATTTATTTATGGCTCAAACTTGTGCTATTTTGATCCTGGCAATGCAACAATGGCACCAGAGCCATATAGCATCAAGTTTGAGCCCTACATGCTCAAGTTCATGCTTGATCCATTAAGTTTATGTTAAAAATCAAAGGGTTCTTCCTGTCTAAATTTAGATTCAAGTTGTTCCTCGTGATTGAGCACAGCTTGAACTTTTTGATCCCTAAATCTCTTAAGTTTCTAGCCCTAGCAGATTGTATGTTAACTAAGGGTTTCCTTTTGATGGTGAAATAAAGGGATTTGAAGCATCTGTGCAAGTTCAAAGCAAAATCACCAATTGCCGAAACCCTAATCCTAATTTCCCCCTCGCTGGTTCAAGTTTCTAACCCCTCGCTGTCCTCCTCCTTTTTATCTCTGTTAACTGTAACTATGATCACTTGATCAGATTTTGTACCCCTCTTGCTTCTGCTCAATCTAATGAAGCCAGCAAATGCTGGATCTTTCAAAAAAAATCCCCCAAATCAGACGAACCCTAACTCTAATGATCATGAATTAAAGGGCAGCGGATCTTATCATGGAGCTGTGGTGCCATGGCCGCCTCCTTATGCCGGCAGGCTCGTTCGGGCTCGCGCTCGAGCGGGCTGGCCGTCCGCTGCACCGACCGGTGGATGCAGGGGCATCCTTGTGCGCCTTTCGCCGCTGGAAGCCCGCCACCGCGCCGGATTTGATGTGGCTCGCCTTCGCCGTTGCAGGGACGCCTGCACGCGCGTGGGAGCGATGCTCAGGACGCCAGCAAGCCCCGCTCGACGGAATCTCGCGCAGGCCAAAGCCGCACGGAAACCCAGCGAGTGAGGCTCACCGGCGCCGTCACCTTCCTCCGCTGCAGCTGGCATCGCCGCTGCGTCGTGGTCCGTGGGAGGAGAAAGGAGATCGGGGGAAATGTGGGTAGGGTTCGGGGGGAGCTGGGCTGCGCGCTTGGGTTAGGCCGAGCCAGCGGCATCGTAGCCCGGACCAGCAGCAAATTGTTATCCCAAAAAAACCTTATGCTTTTGGGAAACATTTCTGTTATGGGCAGATTTTTTTAGAAAAAGCTAAATATTTTTACTTAAAATTAATGAATTTTAGTAAATAAAGTAAACATTTTTAGGGCTTATTCATGAATTTTTATGTTTATTTTGGCATTTTAATTCCTTAAGTATTTTAATCCCTATTATGTTTTAGTATTCCATGTTTAAATTATTTATGCTGCAATTGAATTATGTTTAGTTAATTTTATTTTATGGCGTTTTATTTTGATGTTGAATATTACTATGGTCATTATGTCATAAAGTTTCCTCTACAACATAGAGTTTAAATGGGTCCTCAAACTGAAGTGTGGTTTTATGCTTTGTCAAAGCTAATTGATGAATATTTGGCCAAGCATAATTGATGAATATTTTTTCCACAATTTTTTGTTGCTCATGTTCATTTCTGGCCAAAGCTGATTTGAATGTGATCAATAAATTTAATTATGATGATGGTGATGCTTACTAAAGCACTTTGAATTTTATTTTGGAGCACCTAATGTCTCTCATATTACTAGGATGCATAATGGCATAGAGCAACTTAATGGTGACAATTATGCTACATGGAAGGAGAAGCTTGAAATTACGATGGCATTACTTAATATTGATTATGCTATCCTTAATGATCCTCCTGAGACACCTAAAGAAGATAATGAAAATTATGATGCCCTTAAGAAGGAATATGATGTTATGAAGGCTAAGTGGGATGACTCTAATTGCAAAGCTTTATGATGATAAAGGGTTCCATTACACAAAGCGTGAGGGGAGCCAGTATGCACCTATGTAATTTTCCTCTATGATAATGTGGGTTCTACCTCAAATATAAATGTCAGTACTAAACGTAAACGAGATGATAATGGCACTTCTTCAAAATTATGGCACTATCGTTTAGGCCATATTTCAAGGGGGGATTGGGCATATCATTAAAGATCAAGTTCTTCCTTCTCTCAATTTTTAGGATGCATATGTTGATCATTGTATAGACTGCATCAGAGGAAAATATGCCAAGAAAATTAAAAAAAAGGTGAAAATGGAAGCGCGTGAGTTTTATAAATAATTCATACGGATATATGTGGTCCATTTAATGTGAGATTGGTGGATGGTTTTAATTCTTCATGACGTCCACCGGTGATTTCTCCCGTTATGGATATACTCCCTCCGTTCGGAATTACTTGTCTCGAATATGGATGTATCTAAAACTAAAATACATCTAGATACATCCATTTCTGCGACAAGTAATTCCGAACGGAGGGAGTATTTATCCTATTAAAGAAAGAGCAGAGTCATTAGACAAGTTCAAGATTTTCAAGGTGAAGTTGAAAATCAAAGTAATAAAAGAATTAAAGTTGTAGATCTAATCGTGGTGGCGAGTACTACGACAGACATACTTCTTATGGCCAAATTCCTAAACCATTTGCAAAATTCTTACAGGAAAATGGCATCATGGCATGGTATTCAGCACCGAACAAACCTCAGCAAATGGGGTGGTTGAAAGGCGGGACCGCACGCTTATGGACATGGTGCGGAGTATGTTAAGCCGCTCCACTTTGCCGGTAAATTTATGGATGGAGGCCCTTAAAACAAAAACACATATTCTTTACGGGGTTCCCAGTAAATCGGTGCACTAAACACCGTATGAATTATGGACTGAGAGGAAACCAACCCTG